GGCAGCGATGCAAGAAAACTGATTCAGCAAAAGGAGCTTCTTCTTCTGTCAGTTTTTCCAGGATCTGATTTGCCAGCTCTAGGGGAAGTTTCAAGTAGAGAGGATAGCTGTGATACCTATCAGAATTTGGCAAGGTTTTCTATTCATTTTAATCTCAGTGTCACCTTGATTGTTTAAGGGACTTTCTGGTAGCACCATAAAAAAAAAAAATCCCTCATGGTCCCATGGATCCTGGGAGGGCCACATATGGAGGTATGGGTAAAGCTACCAACTTAGTGGTTTTTGGTTTTTTTGTTTTTTTAACTTTCATGTAATGTGGAGAGACAATTCAGACAGGGAATGTATAAAACACAAATACCTAGGGAAAAAAGACAGATTTGTAGGAGTAATGGCAGTTCTGTTGTTCTTCATTTTAAGTATCTATTATATCTTTAATTTTTCTGAAAAAAAAAAAAAAAAAAAAAAAAAAAAAGAATTTTGCTGAAGGGCCTCTCTGGTGGCGTAGGGGGTTAAGTCTCAGCCCTGTCATGCTATCTCCTTCTGTAGCCTTAGTTCGAGCCCTGGCCAGAGAGCAAACCAACATATGGCGCAGCAGACCTCTCCCACCTTGTCAGCTGCTCCCCTCAGCAGTGCATTTTAGTCATTCCATCTGTTCTGTTCCCCAACCTGTCTCTGGTAAATCCTCTCACCCCCAACATTTCTGGCCTATACCCCACTTCTTCTACGCATAAATCTTTTAAAAATAAATCTTTTTAAAAAAGAATTTTTCAGGAAAACTTCAATACTACGGGAACTCTTATTTTAAGCAGTTCTTAAATACTCTTGTCTAATTGGACGGCTCGTTCCCCATAATGCTCATTGTAATTTTAGGATATTTTCAGTCAGATCTTAGCATTCTTTTAGAACTATAGCTCTTAAACATAAGGAAACACACCTAACTCTGGATATAAAGAACCCCATTTATTTTAGCTGTCTTTGGATTTCCTTGCAGCCAAATGATAGCAAAGTCTTTTACTTCTGGAATTCTCTCTTAGCAATCACCTTTACCTCATGTGCATGTTTACATAGACCAACAATACCCCAGAAAATGGAATTGTGGATATCAGTGGTAGCCAGTGAAATAGAGAGTGGGAACAAGATTTAATCAAAAGATCTCAAAGAATGGTGACTACAAACGGACTCCAAATAAATGGAGAACCGCAGATGCTACTAACAGTTCTTATCATAGAACCTGGGAAAAGATTCCAAACTAATGTGGAATCACAGACTGGATTGTGAGCAGGGTCCAACATGGAATCTGGGATAAAATTAAAGATTATGGTATATTGGTTAGTGGACTAAATTGAACCGGGTCTAATGCTGAAACCAATTCAGTCTCTAAGTTGAACCCAGCCCAATTCCATGTGGCACCATCAGCCATTCCCATTGTGGACTAAATCAGCACACTCTATTAAGTGGAGATGGTGGACTGGAAAAGGGGAAGCAGCTAAATGAACAAACCCCAGCAAAAGGGGATTGAGATTGGAACTTGGCAAGGGATTTCAACATGGAAATGTATACTAAAGCAAGGGCCAAGGACTCTGCACTCCAGATGAACCATCTGCCAGCTTTAAGTTGACCTACTAAAGAGAGACTCCTGAGAGAGGAAAAGATAGACAAAAAAACCTTTCATTTCCTTTTGTTGATTTTTCTTGCTGGAAAAGTTTCTGAGAACTGAGGACTTTGTCCTTATATCAATAAATGTTTATGGAGCACCTCTTATTTGGAGACACTGGACTAAAAGCTGGTGCACAGAATAAATAAAGCAGACATGAACTATAACTCTAGTAAGTGGAGATGGTGGGCTGGAAATAGGGAAGAGCTAAACCAGCAAACCCCGGCAAATGGGGACTCGTAAAATTTCCAGGCAAGTCATAAGATATGTTTCAAAAAACACTCCCACAAATGGATTGCGTACTTCTCACTTTAACATAATTTGAATTTAGCAGAGTTTTTATTTGGTCCAGTGTGTTTAAAATACTTCAACAACTCCTACTGTCAAATGGGGGAAAGAATGAGTTAAAACAAAGTTCATATTTTGAAACAAAAATGTTAAAATGATCGAAGTTTTTAGTACTATGAGAAGAAAAAATATGGACATTACAATATGAGAACTTGTGCTACGGTCTACAAATTGTTGTGTTCCATCTCAAATCAGCTTTTAAAAAATCACATTTATGAAAAAAACCAAAATAATAAACACTTAATAAAATAAATATCTTTATAAAATTGTATTACCTTGAATCAGCATTTTTAAAACATTTCCCCCCCTTCTGTCATGACTCAATTGCGTGTGTGGGGCTTATTTGCATCTTAATACATAATTAAGCACATACATAAGCCCAGTCATTTCTAACATAGCAACTTCCCTTTTTGTCAGTGATTTCATTTCCTATTGCCTTCACAAAAAAAAAAAAAAAAAGAATTATAATGTTGTGACTTTAAAGTTACCTAATTGTAAACATTGGGCCTCTCTGATTTTAGTATAAATCTAACAAAAGAAATATGTGTATAAAGCTTTTGTTTAATAAATTTAACACAGAAAATAAATGAGGTTAAGTAAACTTTTATATTTGATTTTTTTTTTCATTTCATTGAAGACAGGCTGATCTTAGATTTCCCAAGTCCACAATAAATGCCCTTTTTTTTTTTTTTTATGTCTGGCTTCTTTTTCCAATCCCCATCCTTTTAGCTTATCTCAGAATATCCACCAATTGGGATATAGAATTAGAAACAATTCTTTGTGTACATCAATAGAACTTTAAAAATGCTATGTAAATTGAATTATTAGACATAAAAATTATTTGAAAAAAATTATTAGACAAAAAATTTTAGACATAAAATTAAAAGTTCTATAATAAAGAGGGGGAAAAAGCAGCTGGAGATTTGTTGTATCAATACAATCTTTGAAAAATATATGTAACTTTCTTTTTTAAAGAAGAAATGTGGTTCTCCCTCTCCAGCAAAAGTTGTGACTTAAATGAAAGGTAAGAGGGGATGATAATGAACACTTATTGAGTAGCTACCTTGTGTCAGTACCACTCTTGGAATTTTCCACACATTCCCTCTTTGAATTTTCACTGTGATCCTATGGAACTGGTCTTATTCTCATTTACAGATGAGGAAACTGAGACTCAATGAGATTATAAAAACTTCCCATGGTTGTTTGGTAAATAGGTTGCTTAACAGGGATTGAAAGCGTTCTTTTTCCAACAGCTATGTATTCTTACAATTAACGTATTCTGACTTGACACTGTTCAAAGCCAATATATTTAGCTGTTTGATTTTTCAACTTGTCAAAACTTTGGAAAATATGTTCCTTAAAAGATACAGCATTTAGCAAAATGTACCAACTTAACATTTTTATAAATTGTAAATATTTACAAATTATGAATGAAGTAGGAAATGTTGTAAGGGTTTAATTACACACACACACACACACACACACACACACACACACACTGTTCCCTGTTATCAAGTATTTAAGAAGTGAGCTGTTATCGCTAAACAAAATTATCTCCCCAAACCACAAATGTTCACGTCCTAAAACAACATTACTCTTGGTCTAATATTCAATTATTCTTTTGTCTAAAACTTAATTTAAATCTATAACAATATTTAAACTAGCTATTTCCTCAAATCTTGTGAAATTCTATAGATTTTAAGATTCTCCATAACCCAATCTGAAAAGGCAACTTAAATCTTAACACAATAAATTTTAATCTGGAGGCTTAATTTTAGCAAACCATAACTGGAACTGATGTTTTTATTATATTGTTATACTGCATGCTGTAATTTGATCCATCTTGGTATTCCAGAAACTGATCTTTTATCAAGAATGTCTTTAAGGCAAATGAGAATTTTAGCAGATAATTGTTGATTATTTTTGCAGTTTAGAAGTCAAGGATCTGACAAAAATGAGAAGTATAAGCCATAACTGTTGGAATAAATGAGAATCAACCAGTTGAAAATGTAAGCTCGAAAGCTTACATATACTAACCTTATGAAATAGGTACTTGTTATTAAACCCATTTCATTAGATATAGAAACTAGAACACAGAAAGTCTAAAAAACATGAAAACTAGGTGTTTGAACCAGTTTGAGCCCAGATAAGCAGGTATTGCTTATCTTTCCATTAGCTATCATCTCATCTAACACCAACCAAGAAGCCCATGATCCACTTCCTGAAGCTTAACCATGTCCTTGTTTTGTCACTTGAGTGTCCCTATTAGATGTGCTTATAAAAAAACCTGTCATAAATTATCCTCAATAAAAACGGCTGACTACATTAACTTCTCTATAATGTCACTATTACTTATGTAAAGAAAAATTGTGCCATAAAAGAATAATCATAAAGACTTTACCCAAAATAATCATAAAGACTTTACAGCTGCCGGATAGTAAAGAAAGTTATTTATCAATGAAAAGGAATGCAGTTGATAATAATATATTACACTGGGAAGTTTGAATATTTAAAAATTATTTTAAAAACATGATTTAAAATAAACATGATTTAAAATGTTTTATGTATGGATGTATTACCATTGTTTTACAACCGTGTTACTATTTTGACTGTATAGGCTTTCTCCCTACATGTGCAGTCACCTTAGCTCTCCCATCAAAGCACCCAGGGTCCTCCACCATAGTCTATCGTGTTCTCCCCTTTTCCTCATGCCACCTCCTTCAGCTTCAAGGGTTAGTTAAAATAAACAAGGTTTAAAAAATACACATTGTTTTAAAGATCAAATATAGCTTCATCGAGTTGATAATGTGACAAAAAACAACAGGAGTCTGATGACTCAGGTCTGCTTTCAAAGGACAAGTAAGTCGTTACATATTGTGGAATTTCCTCTGACCTAATGGGTGAATGAGGGTGCACATGTTCCTCACTGTTGCGATAATATAAAAAGCCACAGGAGTCTCATCCAACACAAGCACTCTAGGACAGCAGAGTTCCCAGACTCTCGGACAAGAGCCAGTTTAGAAACGGGAAAGACAGCGCCTCCTGCAAACATGACTGCCAAGCTGACTGTGGCTTTCCTGGCAGCTGTCATGCTCGCTGCAGCTCTGTGTGAAGGTAAGCTCATTCTTCTGGACTTTATAGAGTTTCCTGTGTCTGAATGTGATCCTTAGAAAGCAAGATGAACCTTAATGTTTTGATAACAGCCTTTTTATTCAAGAAAAAAAAAATGCTATCTTTTCTTGCTAAAGTGGAGTTTTAATTTTTTTAGTCCATTTCTAGAAGATACTTAGAAAAGTATAGCTTTTGATTAATATAGACTTTCTGTTACAATCATTCATACTCTGTGGCATGCATAGATTTAATATGACTGTACAATTGAGAGTTTATCTTATGAAGAGTATAGATACCCATGTTATCTATTACTATTGAGCAAGTTAAGTCAGGTGATTTTACTCCATGTGCTAGTCTATTGATATCAATTTCTGTTTGATTTAAATATATCTGACAGGTTACAGGCCTTCTCAGTTTCCCTCCCATGAAATAAAGTAGTTTAGAATATTTATGGTATATATTTTCTAAACTTTTTCTTTTTTCTTAAGTATTCAGGATTTTACTAGGATAAAAGTCATCTCTCTACAATTCATTTATTTCTGTTCATTCCTTCTCAAGGCAGTTTCTCTGTTGATGAATCTTAGTTTGCCAACTATAAGTAGCATTACAGAGGATTAGACATTGTCAGGTAGAAGAAAAAGTACCTTGAGGATGTCAAGAGTGCACAAAGCCAACCCCCAAGTCTTGATATAGAAAATCATTCAAATTAGTCGGAATGACTATTTTTTAAAAAAGAAAAAATTTGAAACCAGGGGTTAGGTGAAGATCCAGCATTCAACTTCAGTAATGAGTTTGCCAAAACTGCTGTGTTTACCAAACACACAGCAAATTATTGTATTAGAATTAAAAAGGGAGTAGCTAGCACAGCTGTGCCTATTGATAAGATTAATCCTTAATGGTTTCCATTTTTTTCACAGCTGCAATTCAGCCAAGAACTAGTACAGAACTTCGATGCCAGTGCATAAATATGCACTCCAAATTTTTCCCTCCCAAGTATATTAAAGAACTGAGAGTGATTGAGAGTGGACCACACTGTGAACATTCAGAAGTCATGTAAGTACTTTCAAGGCTGATTAGTAGAAATATCTAAAATTACTTAAGAGATTTTACTTTAGTAAATCTAGATTGAAAAAGGTGAAAGTAACCAAAAAAGTTCTAGGGTATAGGAATACAGTTGTGAGCAAGGCCTTTAAATGTGGTACTTTCCATGGCTCACTGCCAAAATTTGCTTTGGACTTAGATTTATTTATTTATTTTTAAAGATTTATTTATTTTTATACAAGAGTTGGGGTACAGGCCAGAGGCATGAGAGGGTGAGAGGATTCACCAGAGACAGAGTGGGGAGCAGAACAGGCAGACTGACTGAAATACACTCCTGAGGGGAGCAGTGGGTGAGGCAGGAGAGGTCTGCTGCGCCATATGGGAATCTCCCTGGCAGGCCAGAAATCGAAACCCCCCACCCCCCTCCCCAGCTGCAGAAGCTGCGGACAGATTCACAGCGCTGCACTTAACCCGCTGCGCCACTGGGGAAGCCCTGGACTTAGACTTAATACCTGTCCTAAAATAACCATAACTTGAATGGCAAAAGGATGCTTGAAACCAATAAATAATGATTTTAATTGTATTTATCTCATTTCAGTGTCAAGCTCACTAATGGAAAAGCTGTTTGTCTGGACCCCAAGGAAAAGTGGGTGCAGTTCGTTGTACAGCAATTTTTGAAGAGGTGAGTTAGTTTTTAAAATTTTGATTATTTATCCTGAGACAAACAACTTAAAAGTCAGATTATAAACTTCCTGCTATTGCTGTAAATCTTCTCTTTGATTAAAAATAAAAGAAAAAAAATCAGCAATCGTTTGTACCTACAGCTGAGAACATCATGAATTTCATTTTGTCCAGGGAAATCTGGGGTGTGCCGGGGTATGCTGGGGTGTGCCGTGCTTTGGATTATTAGCATGGTTCCTATTTACAGCTGAAAATACAAAGCATTTCTAACACATGAATATCTAAGACTGTTAATTTCTATGTTAAATGTATTTTCAAGAACCATACTATCCTCCTTATTAGAACATTGTTAATTTATTTAAATTTTTATTTTGTTTTCAGAGCTGAGAAACAAAGTTCATGAAAAAAAAAATGCATTCGCCATGGTTTCCAAGAATTCCCAACTAACAATGCCAATGAAATTTCAAACACATCTACTTCAACTTTCTGTGCGCTATGTGGGGCTGGTTAGGGTTGCCAGATATAATACAGGATGCCCACATGGGAATTTCAGTAAAATAAAGAATTTTTTTTCAATGTCCCATGGACATTGTCCTATGCAATATTTAGGACACATTTATTTTTTTAGATGATGAGTTTTCTACTATACTTTCAAATTCAGATGGAAATCCTATATTTTTTGTAGTTGTTAAATCTTGCAACCCTGGTCTGCTGATCATGATCCATGAATCTTTATTCAACTCAGTTTCTTCTTTATTCCTAAACTAGAGAAAAGAATCAGTTACCATCCTGTCTCACACTGATGTGAGAAATGTGGAGACACTTTAACTTTATCCATGGTCATGGAAACTGTTTTCAAGTGTAACTTATTCACTATTTATTATTTATATATTTATTTAAGCAAAAAATACAGTCATATTTATGCATGAATTTGAAGAAGTAGGAAAGAGGGCATTCTTGATAGAACAGTTCAATGATAGTGGATTTATAGCTATTTTGGAGAGTAAATTATGTTATGAGAGATCTATTTTGATCAGGGTTGCCATATTTAGCAAAATTAGGACAAACATATTAACTGGCACATCCAGTTAATTTTATTTTTGATAAACATGAATTCATTTTTAGTATGAATGTGATTTTTATCTGAAATTTTAGTTGAATTGGCAAATAATAAAAATTCACCAGACAATATTAACAAAGCAGTTTCTTGCTGGTTAAAACTGATACACACAATATATTTGCATAATTGAATTTAAATTATTGTTTTTTTAATGCTTATTTTAATTGTTTGATTTTAAAATGCTTTTATGTGTTCCTAAAAAGATTTTTTCTATGGTTTCTGATAGCACAAAAGTATTAAGTATGTAATGTAACTAGGAAACATTTAAAATAAAATTTATTGTTAAAATGATCAGATGTTTGTCTTTCTTTGGAAGTGTCAGAATTTATTGGGAATGTCTCTGTTTACAGTAAACATCATATTTTGGTTTAGAAAACATTAATGCTTCCCCTTAGTTTTTTTTTTATTTTATGTGGAAAATTTAAACCATTATTTGTGGGAAAACAGAACACATTTCCAATAGTCTCTTCCCAAGAGTGTTAGAAAATTTTTCAAGACCCCTTTGTGTACCATTTTGCCAATTTTGCCCTAACCCTAAGTCTGACTTCAGAATTTAAGTCCACCAGTCCATGTATGTAGACAGCTTAGCACAGCAGGGTACAAAGTGAAAGAAGGAAGGGGGTACATGTTATAAGGTACTTCCCAGCTAATTCAGGAATAAAACTGACACATCTGAAGCAAAGAACTTGAAAATATGGTTTAAAAACAAGTATATTTGAAAATAAGTCAGGAAAAAATCTTAAAAACAAAGTTACAACAATTTAACTAAAAACCAGTGAATGAGTTTTATCACAGATTAGACATAGCTGAAAAGAAAATTGGAGAGCTTGGAAATAAAACCAAAGAACTTTACCTGGAAATCATATCTGAGGGATAAATAGGTAGTAAGCTGCAAAAAAGGAAATGCAAAGACACAGAGGATAAAATGATAAGGTCTTGTCAATGTCTAGCAGTATTTTTACAAAGGGTCAGAGACAATAGTTGAAGTGACAATGGCTAAAAACTTTTGGAAATGAAAAACAACAATCCACAGTTTCAAGAAATTCAATTTACCTAGGCTTAACTCTACATTTCTAGTAAAAAAACCAAGAACCTTAGAATTTTTATTTCCATTTATCCATCTCCTAGTATTATATACTGTTGTTGGGTATTTCAAATCCACCTTTTTATTTTTCTATTCTACAATGTGGAATGAGGCAGAGTCCTCTCATTGCAACCTGTCGGTCCTTCCTTATAATCACTCTGGGTGCTAGAAGCTGCTATTCCCCTTATGGACCAGCATGTGATAGGGAGCTAATCCTATTCTCTTTTCTAATACTCACTGTACATTAACATAAGTATGAAGTATAAAGATTCATGAGTGATGTACAAGCAAGAACCGACTAGAAATTCAACTCTGGTATCACTGTTCCTACAAACACTGTTTCCCTCTAGAGAAAATTCCTCCTGCCTCTGTATCTTCTCAGTCCACATGTGACTTCTTCCTCAGAGTTCTAGCTAAATTTCATTTCCATATTCTCCTTTTTTGGATTCCTGTTCCCTTCTCCTGCCCCCTCTGCCATCTCTCATCTTGTGGATCTCACAAATATAGTGAGTAAAATAAAAAACAAACAACTTTAATTAAATGTTGATAGATACAGGAAGCAGATAGCTAGCATAGGTTTCCCCCAGAAAATCTATACAAGAGTCTGAAGAATGAGTAGGAGTTAGCCACACAAAAGGAAGAAGGATATGTGGGGAAGAGCTGTCTAGGTGGCAGGGAGGTATAATTTAGAGACAAGGCCCATAAATTCATAGATTTGAGAAGTGAAAAAAATTTAGCAGGAACTGACAGAAACATGCAAAAGGATGAGACTAGACCACTATCTCATATCCTACACAAAAGTTAACCAAAAATGGATAAAAGACTTAAGTGAAATACTTGAAACCATGAAATACATTGAAGAAGTCAAAGGCAAAACACTCCATATCAGCTTCAGTGACGCCTTTGTAGATTCTTCCCCAACTGCAAGAGAATTAAAAGAGAATATAAACAATTGGGATTTTATCAAACTGAAAAGCTTCTTCTGCACAGTGGAAGACACCCTACAGAGTGGGAGAATATATTTGCACATCATGTATCTGACAAGTGTCAGATATCCAAAATCTACAAAGAAAGCACACAACTCAGCAAAAAGAAAACAAATAACCCAACTGAAAGAGGGTCAGAAGAGCCAAATAGGCACTTCTTTGAAGAAGACATATAGATAGCCATCAGGTACATGGAAAAATGTTCTTTATCACATATTGCCAAAGAAACACAAGACCAAACCACAATGAGATACTGTTTCACACCTGTGAGAATGACCCATATCAAAAAGACCAGGAATAACAAGTGTTGGTGGAAATGTAGACTGCTCTATCCCCTATGGAAAACAGTTTGGAGATCTCAAAATATTAAAAATAAATCTACCATTTGAAGCAGCAATCCCACTCCTCTGTATCTACCCAAAGAAATGAAAAACACTATTTCAAATATATATATATGTATATATGTATATCTGAAATTGTATATGTACACATATGCATATATATGTATATACTCATATACACATGTATGTATACATATATCTATGCATTCCTTTACTCATTGTAGCACTATTTACTTTAGTCAAGCTATGGAAACAACCTAAGTGCTCAAAGATAGATGACTGGCTTAGAAGATGTGGTGTAGATATACAATGGAATACTACTTATATAAAAATAACAAATTCTTGACATTTATGACTTAATGCACGGAACTGGAGGTGGTTATGCTAAGCAAACTAAGTCAGAAAGACAAAGACAAACACTGGGTGGTCTTACTCATATGTCGAATATACAGAAAAAAAAAAGAGATAATACCAAACCAATAAAAATCCCTAAAAACCTGGGCCTCCTTGGGGTGCAAGTGGTTAAGTCTCACTATGAAGCTCTCCGCAGCCACTGCAGCAGGAGTTTGATCCCTGGTCAGGAAGGTGACCCACATGGCACAGCAGACCTCTCCTGAGTTGCCTGCTGCTTCCCTCAGCAGTGTATTTCAGTCAATCCTCCTGTTCTGTTCCCCACTCTGTCACTTGTGAATCCTCTCACCCCCCATCTTGTATGCATAAATAAATAAAATAAATCTTTAAAAAAATCCACAAAAACCCTAAAAACCTGATTGTAGAATTAATGCTACCAGAGGGGTATAAAAGGGTGAGGGAGCTCTGTGCACTCTGGTGGAAGATTATCAGTGCTTGGGTGGTGAGTATGTGGATAATATACATCTGAAAATGTGTTACCTATACCTCTAAATCCTATACTGTTGTAAACATTACCTCAGTGACAAAAAAAATACAATTAAAACATTTTAAAATATAATGTGGTCTATGCGGCTGTACTCCTTGATTTAAAGAAATTGGTGTTCATAGACCAGGCTCATCAAACGATTTTCTATTACAAAAGCTCTCCTCTGAAATAAAAAATAATATCCTGTAACTTTTGTATTGCAATTTAGTGAAGAAAAAAACCAAATCATCTTCAGTGTTATAAATCTGTTGCTTCAATTAAAAAGATAAATGTAAAAAATAACAAATAAATGGAGAAGACACAGACAACCCTCCCCCATGCAGAATAATACCAAGTATTTATGTAGATATACCTTCCTCAAAGAGGTTTATGTAGCATAACTATGAACTCATAAAGTGTGGGCTGCTCATACTGACTTCATTCCAAAGAACACTGTATAGAAGGGAGAAAAGATTTGTTTACACTAAACAAACCTGGGAAATACTATGTTGGCCAACATTAACATCATCAGTGATAAGTCACATTGATAGAACGTAATTATGTAATGAAAATGGCATTTTATCTCTGGGATCTTCCTCCAAATAACTCATTATCTCAGTCTACTTATGAGTAAAACATCAGAAAAATTCCTGTAGAAAGCGATCTACAAAAGTCCCTAATCTGTTCTCAAAGTTGTCAAGCTCATCTCAAACAAGGAAATTCTGAAACTCGTATGTCCATGGGGAGTCTAAATAGACATGACAGCTAAATGTAATGTATCCTTGATTGATTCCAGAATAGAAAAAGGACAATCAGTAAAATTTAAGAATATATAAATAAAGACTTCAGTTAATATTAAGTATTGGTTATTACTCAGCATTCAAAAAAGATAAACACATGCAATTTGCAGCAACATGGATGGCACTGGAAGGGATCATACTCAGAGAAATAAGCCAGAAAGAAAAAGAAAAATACCGGATGGTCTCACTCATAACAGGAATCTAGAAAACTTAAATAAGGGACCAGGAAAATGAATAACTATAAGAAAGTGAAAATCAAAATTAACAAACAACTATGAACCAGAGACACTCTATGGGGGGTGGGGGGCGGGGAGGGGAGGGATTGGGGTCAAAATAAGGGGGTTGCAATTGTATGG